AGAGAGAGAGAGAGAGAGAGAGAGAGAGAGAGAGAGAGAGAGAGAGAACAGGGTGGGGGTAGACAGAGAGGGAGGGAGAGAGAGAAGAACGGGGTGGGGAAGAGAGAAAGAGGGAGGGAGAGAGGGAAATAGAGAAGGAGGGAGAATTCAACAAGAATCCTTATTCCCGAGGCCTCTTCCTTCCAGTCCCCAGTGCTGTCCATCACGATTCCCCTGGGAACTGTGAGATGATCAAGACAGACGTCATCTTTAGACCTGGGGGAGGGGAAGTAGAGGAAACAAGGACCATATTTCTGGTGGTGGTGATAGTAAATGTGGTGACAGGAGAGACAGAGGGAGGCTGGGAACAACCTCCTCCTCAATGCGTTAACACCCGGGCACTGTGGGCAGAAGAATCTGGCCACCACGCATGACAATGCCAACACAGACTGCATGAGAGCAACTTGCAGTGAGTGACAGCAGGAGAGACCCTTCTTCATCCATGGAGTCCCCGGTATCTTGCATGCTTGAAGAGGACTGCTGTTGCCTTGCTGGGCTTCTTTTCTCTCAGAGGTGGCTCTTGTTTCTTTTTTGATACCAGGAATTGAACTCAGGGGGGCTCAACCACTGAACCACATCCTTAGCCTTATTTTGTATTTTATTTAGAGACAGGGTCTCACTAAGTTGCTGAGGCTGGCTTTGAACTTGCAATATTCCTTTCTCAGTCTCCCGAGCTGCTGGGATTACAAGCATGCGCCAGCACACCTGGCCGGCTCCTGTTTCTATGTGGCCTACCCTGATATCTGTGGGACAATGTTGGACCATGGGAGAGATGGCACACTCCACATATTTCACACGCTTCCCTACACTTCCCAGGTTCCTTTGCAGCAACAACAGAGCCATGCTTCTCATTCAATAAATGGAGACTGAGGCTGACAAGAGAGGTGTCTTCCTCCGTTTTTACTGTAGTGGCTTTGGGGACCCGGTGCTCCTTCTGGCATGCAAAATGGGAAAGGGCCTCACAACCCCCCATGGCCCCATGGCACCTTTGAAGAGCAAGAAACCAACTTTAAACCCTGAGATTTCAGTGCTATTGCTGTGGCGTAGTCTGGTCTAGCCCCTGAGAACACCCAGAATGTCAGAATTAACTGAAAAATTGTTGCTCTCCTGTTCTTTACTGTGATGAAGGAAAAAACTGTCGCTGGAGCCACCGGAGCAGCTGATTGATGTTCTCCTCGCTGTCATCATGCAGCCCAGATGGCACTTCCTGTTTGGCAACACCTCACGTGGGCTCCCTGGTCCCCCACCAACTCTGCCAGTCACCAACCCACACAGTCAAATGTGTACAGCAGTAGAGGTTTGCCAAGAACACATCCTCGTGTCTGCCAAGGAGAGACTGCTTGGGGAAGAACATTCTAGAGAACGGTTGGAGGCGCAGGGCACTGCCTAGGAAACAGTGAGCTCTATCTTAACTAAGGTGGGCAAGGAGAGGATGATGTCCATCAGGGTTGGGGGTGGGAGCAGGAATACCAGCCCTGAATGGGGAGGGACAACATGGCCCGATGATTTTTAAGTCTCTCCCAATCCATAATGCCCCACACAATATATAATTTTGCCAAGGGTATGAATAGCTTAAATTCAGTCATTAAGAAAATGAGGAACTTAGGAAATAAAATAACTCGATATTATGAACAAATAAGAATTGCCACATTGAAATTATCCTTTCTGAAAGGTACAGTCTCATGAGCTTGATGTTCTCAGCCCTCGTGAGGTTGACGGATGGTGGTGAGTGGTCAGAGGCATGTGAAGCGTGTCAGTAATTTACACACCAACCACAAAGAGGGCTGAGCTCAGGGAGGAGTCATTCTTGAGACGTGGAAGTCATCATGATAACAGCTCCATAATAAGGACACCAGTGCTTTATCATGCACAAAGTGTTCTCCTGACATCCTGAGCACACAGAGATTGTTATCCTAAGCTTATTATCATATATCACAGGTTACCGTGTATCTCTGAGCTTATCATAGCCTCGGGGGAGAAAAGCTACCAGTCCCATTTTATAGACACATAGGCAGGTTTTGGGAGGTTTCCCCAAGATCACAGAAAAAAGGGGGAGATCTAAGACTTAAACCCTGATCTTTTGACTTGGAGTGACAGATTTTAAAATAAAAGAGTGTATCTACTCTTGATACTAGAAGCTGGGACCGCAGTCAGCTCATATGCTGCAGGTCCCAAGGAACTTCTGCTTTCTGTGTGTAAGACTCTGTTAGGGAGAAGACAGTTCTGAGCAGCTTTGGAGGCAGGAAGGATTTTCTTGGGAAAAAGTGAAGAACTGGGTAACAAAGAGTCTTGGAGTTCTGGCACTAATTCTCTGACCATGATGGAACCTTAGCTTCCTTATCTAAACATGGGAGAAATGTCATTAATCTGGTTCACCATGAACGAGTTTGGTGTGAATCCAATAAGAGGGTGGGATGAAAACATTTGGAAAACCTACGAAAGCCACAGTTCTTGTTCCAGTTGGGAATGCATTCAGCTGCAAGGAACAGAGCACAGCTCTGGGTCCTGATCAAGACGAAGCTTTTTTTTTTTTTTCCCCCTTGACGTTAAGTCCAGGGTGGTAATGGGGACCAGGAGCAAGTGATTTAATAATGCCATTGGAGGCTCTGTTCCACTCTTCTGTGCCCATTCCATCCTTGCACATCCCACCTTATAAACACAAGATGGATTCTGCCCCTTCAGGCTTTCTGTTCAAGTCCAAGGTAGGAGAAAGAAGGAAGGAGGATATAAGTTGGCATTTATATTAGGACTGCTGAACTTCTCTGAGTTGTGCAATGTCAGCCAGCACTGCAATTATAGGCTCATCCTCTAGGTACGAGGAGGAGAGAGAAGCAAACATTTTTGCTGGGTATACTACTACCTTAAACAAATCTGGGGTTTCCATAGAGAAATAGGAGGTGCTGGGATGGACTGTGAATGGCAGCTGGCAGTTCCTATCACAGCTCCATACCAAGAGGGGCACTGAATTCCCAGGGATCTTTTACACCCAGTCTCTGGAGGTGAGAGAAAGCAAATTGCATTGAAGCGAGGGTGAATCCACTGTAGCCCACTGTCAGAAAGGGAGACAGAGGTGGGCTGAGGTCAAGAGGATGGGAGCATGCTGCCGCAGGTCAGGAAGGTGGGGCAGACGGAGGCGGGGTGGCCTCTCTGTCCTCCATTCCTTCAGTCTCATTAGCCCGTTGGCTGGGGCCAGGAGCACTGAATCCGAGAAGTTCATTAATAGCTGCTGTGTTTGTGTACGTCTCCACCGAAGATGTCTAACCACAGACTTCCTCTTGACTCCTGGCAACAGGGAGAAAACAAAACCACAGCAGTTTTCGTTGCTGAAAAAGACAAAAACCGACTCATTTGCTTAATAGGCCCAGACGGAGGAGCTTTATTTCTGGGAGGAAATGCTAACGCCTCCAGGCCAAGGAGTCTTGGCTGGGCCTCGGAATGGCCAGAGTCTGCAGCAGATATCCTGGGTCTGCAGTTTAGAGGCCACGCGGCCGGGGGCAGGAGGACCACCAGCGCAGGGCCCGGAGGACCCAGGGGTCGAGCCCCCAAGAGTGACGGGAGGTGCCTGGCAAAACACCGTCAGTTGCGCCATGAAAATGGAGCCCGCCGCATCACCAGGCCTCTCTTGCTACTTCTGGGTCCAGGATCCGTTTGTTTATTTGTGTTTTCCTTCCTCTTATTTTCTGTTATTAATTTTGGCAATCGATCAAGTCCCGTTTCATCTGTTCTCTCCTCATTGGCCTGTTTCCCTCGGGTCTCATGGCGTGTTTTCAGCTTCTTTATTTTCAGTCTTTCTTCTTTATTGATGAAGGTGTGGTAAGCCATCCATTTCCCCCTGAGTTGAACTTTTTTTCAGGGACCCATTGGTTTTAAAAATAAAATGTTCCCCTTTTCATGTGTTTTTCGATGGTTTTCTTTGATTCACAGGTTATCTAGACATAGGTTTGTTGATTTCCAAGTGGTTAAGAATATTTTCAACCACTTTATTCTTTTTTATTTAAAATATTTTAGATCATAGTAAGAGAGTGTGGCCTATACAGACTCTTAACTTTAAATTTAGGGAAAAAAAATTCCACAGAAGAGTGGACTTCTAGAGTGTTCTTGCTCTGGAGATAGGCTGCTTAGTTTTCCAAACCTGGCTTCTACCTCTTTCCAGCTATGCACATATGTACAAAACACCGAATTTTTCTAAGCCTCACATTCTGCCTTTAAAATGGGAATAAAAAGAGCCTTTACCCCCTGGCACTGCTGGGAAGGTCATGAGATTATGTACGTTAATATACCTGCAATGGTGCTGGCACAGGAAAAAAAAAAAAAACCCACAAAATAGAAATATTGTTGGTTTTGTTATTTTGTTTTTACAAAAAAAGGAGGAAGCATCTCAGTCCATAATCCAGGGCTTCATCCCTAACCCAGAACTGTGGTTTCTGGTTCTTGTGGGAACTGGAAGAAAAGAGGAAGCAATGGTTGGTGCAGCAGTAGCCCTCTCTTTGAAGGAGGCACCTGGATACTAGGGGCCATTTCCTCAGTGAACACATATAGGGCCTTTGGCCGAAGGAGCACTATGATTTGGTGGCAAAGCCAGGCCTCAAATTCAGCGGTCACTGTCCAGCCAGTCCCCTTGTCCCACAGCTGCTGCAGTTTCCCTTTCGAAGGAATAGCCGGTTGACCGGAGGTCCCCCTCTGTGGTGTCGTGTCGGTGAGCTGCAGGCACTGTGTGGCCCCTCTGAGCTTCCTCGTGTTACACCTTTGCTGTCTGGGCCAAGAGAACTCAGTGCAGCAAGTTCTAAGAGAAGCCACGGAAAGGGAGTTGAATTGGGCTGAGGTTGGATACTTGGGACGGTGGGTGCTGTCTCCTCTCCTCTCAGTAGGGACAGGGGAAGGCGAGACTTGATCTGTAGGAGCTCTCATTGGCACCCCTCTAGGCCTCAGCCCAGGCTCCTGACTTCTCTAGCCCAGGGATGGACCCTGCACAGGCGAATCCTCCTGAGATCCTATCTCCATTTCTCTGGAGGGTCTTCAAAGGGCAAACTTTTAGGGTCGGAAGCCCTGTGTTACTTACCTGGGTGAGTCGGCTGCGTGGCCATGTTCACAGGGATGGGAGGAATGGGGATGACAGCCTGAGCAGAACCCAGGAGGCCTAGTGAAGACATAGGACCAAACACATACGGGGCTCAGCTACGCCTGCTGCTGACAGCCAAAAGGGGCAGCCAGGAGCCACCGAGAAGTCCGGAGGCAGGGGACCTTCTCTTTGGAGGGAGGTTGGAGAGGGGAGGGAATCCAAGTCGGAATTACCAGGTGAATGATGGCCAAGGTATCTAATTGGGGCCATTGACCTTGGAGCAAGTGATCATTTCTTGACCAATGACTCCCTGAATTCAAAAACATCAGGGAACCGTGCTGTGTGACCTGCAAGTGGGCAAGATGCCTGCCACTGAGACAGTGATGCAGGGTTAAAGCACACATGTGGATAGGTTTGGGCAGCAGGGCCCTGACCTCAGACGCACACGTGCGCTGTGGGGTAGGCCATCGCCAGGTAAAGCTCGGGATGAGCAAGCAATGCTAGAAGCTCTTCCATGCATGTTTTTAAAACAAATTTGTGGTGCCTCATGATTATCATGAAAACTAAATATGCCCATGAATGCAGAAGTGCTCTGTAAATATCAGCACAAGTACAGAAGAAAGTCCTGGTATGTGTAACTTAGTTAGAAAATGCTGATTCTTTACTGGGTCCCGAGACCTATGTTAGAAGCTGTTAGGTCTCATTCCTGACCACATGAGGCTTTGGACCTTCTCGGTGTGAAGTGCTTTGCAATTGTCACCTTTCCTTCCATCCTCCTTCCAATACACCTTAATTAAGCACCTATTATAAGTCAAGTTCTGGGCCAGGAGCTGAATAATATAGAGCTCACTGTCCACCAGGGAGAGTCAAGAGCAAGGGAGGAGGTAGGAAGCCCAGTGTGGTAGCCATTTCTCTCACAGAGAAACATACGGGTTCAAAAGACACGAAGCAAGGAGGAAAGGAGCAATGATTCCAGAGAGGTTTCTGGAAGCTTCAGACAGAAGGGGACTCCTGGGTGAATGAAGGAGCAGGAGTGATGAAAAAAAATCCTACGGGAATGGTGGGCAGAAAGAGCAGCCCACCCAGGGGTAGGGAGGGTGGAATCCTTTGAGGGAGGTCTCTATGCACACAAGGGCATCAGTGAACCACGGAGGGAGCCTAAATTCCACTTCTAGGTCTCCTGGTGCAGACCAGGAGGTATCATGGGGCTTAGACAAGTCGATGGCCATAAATGGAACACGCACGTTTCCATAAACTCATCACAGTGTCACATGGAGCAGGCAGGTGTCACATGGAGCAGGCTGAGCCAGCCTGTTAGTGAGTGGAGCCCAAGAGCAGAGGGCTTGAGGCAGATGGTTGAGCTTCTAATTCAGACCCTGGCACTTCCTAGCTCTGTGACTTTGGGTTGCTATGAACCTCTCTGAGCCTCAGTTTCATCATGTCTAAATAGGGACAGGTGACCTGGGCATTCTCTTTGGAAATCATGCCCTTAGTTGGGAAGACAGTTAGAAAGTGGAGTGGGTGGGTGGGCAGAGGCCAGCTTCACGCTGTATGTGGCACCAGGGAGATTGAGAATAAGCTGTTAGTCTTCCCCGAGTTTTGACAGGCTGCGAGAGAGTCCAGGAGAGGTGTGGACGCCCAGAGGAGGAGCACTTCTCTCAGCCTGGGAGGTCTAGAGTTTTCCCCAGAAGCACCAGAAGCAGCACTAGGCACCTCCCTGCAAGATAAGCCGATGTTAGCAAGTCTGAGAAGGAAACCAGGGGAATTCCAGGCCCAGGGAACAGTAGGAGCCAAGGAGCCAGGAGAAAGCCCAGGACAGCTCTGTCCAGCGAAGACACCAGATCTCCAGTGGGGAGTGCTGAGGCTGGGGAGGTACACAGGGGCCTGAATGCTGTGTCAGGGGAATTGGATTTTTTTCTCTCACTCGCAGCAGAGAGCCATTTGGATTAGAAGCATGAGGGGAAGAATTAATTAGGCTCTGGCATCTGGATGACCATGGAGGGAGGTCCAGGGAGAGGCAGGTGGCAGAAGTCCTGGATGCTGGCCTGGAAGGCACTTGTCTGAGGTCAAGCTCATCATGACAGCAGTGACGATGTCATGCAGACACCGATGTCCCCAGGCACCTGGTGGCCTCTTTCCTGACACAACACTCCCTGCTCCAGAGAGGACTGGGCCCAGGTCTTCAGGGAAGCCCCTCTGCAGGGCGGCCCCCCTCAGGCCCAGAGGTCTGACTGGGGCTGTACTGCCTGGGGCCCACCTGACCACAGGGAACAGCACTTGTGCTCAAGCAAAACAGAGCCCTCGTGGGAAGGACACACCAGTATTTCACAGGGTGAAAAATGCAGCCCCACTGCTGAGGAACTAGAATCAGGAACTGCGAAGTTAGGCACATGACTCTGCTCCCACCCTCCCCACCCCCGCCTCGCACATGCTTCTCTTCTCCCCTCTTCTCTCCATTTTCCTGACAGCCCTCTCTGTGTGTAAGAAGTGCCCAGCTGCCAGGCTATTGCCCTACCCCCAGATGTCCTGTTGTTGTGGAGGAGGTGAGCACCTTGGTCCTGGCTCCAGGGTCCCGGGAAGTAGACTGGCTGCCTCCAGGCAGGGTCCCCTGCTCCCCTCAGCCCTGTGGCCAGGACAAGGGTGGTCTTGTCCTGAGGTCAAGATAAGCCGATGTTAGCCTGCTCCTGTGGTATGTTGGAGGGTGCCACTGGATTTGGCCCCCAGAGGTGACCTGTTCTATATAGACCCTGTGCCTGAGCCAGGTAGAGTCTGTCCCAGGGCGTGGGGGTGACCTGCCCTTGACCTGTACAGTAGGAGCTAGAATCCACAGGCGCCTCCACGGACTCTTCAGGACAGGAGGCAGAGGCATTGAAAGCCAAATTCAGAATTCTCCCCCCATCTTGCTTTTGTGGTTGGTAAAACCAAAAAAAAAAAAAAAGGTCTGACATGAACTTGTGTTTGGGAGCAGTAAAGAGGGGGGACACTGGCAGGTTGGGCCTTCTGCTTCCTGCTGGGGGACAGGTTCAGGCCCCAGGGACCCAGTGAGAGGCATAGCTCTAGGAAAGAGGGGCCCTGAGACTGCAGCCTGGGGCTGGGGGCCCAGGATTTCTGGGGACGGCAGGGGCTGTGTGTTCCTTTGCTTCTCAATTCCCCTCAGACTTCGTGCAGCACCAGCCTGAGAAGCCAAAGCCGTTGGGTTGTTTTCCCCAAATGTGAAGGAGTCTTCCCCTTCTGGATCTCACATGCTGCTGAAGTTGGGTTTCTGAGGAATTCTCATAAACCCAGGAAGCTCTGCAATCATTTTCATATATAACAAATCCCCAAACAGCAGAAGCGGCCAGCTGTAGCTGGTGGGACAGAAAATGGCATGGGCTGCTGGGGGAAGGGGGTTGGTGGTGAACTTGAGGTCCCATTCTCATGTAAGGCAATCCACCTCCCGGGAGACAGGATGTGGCGAAGCGGCCAAGCACATGACCTCTGGCCCCTGTTCCACCTGGTGCAATGCCAGCTACTGATACCTCCCCATCGGGATCTCAGGCCAATTGCTTGATCTTGCCAAGTCTTAGTTTTCTCATCTGTGAAATGGGAATAATGATAGTACAAGGAGGATTTAATGAGATGCCTGGGGAAAGCACTTAGCTGGTGCTTGGGCAGGCTTGGTGATGTTAATAGTTTTAATTATTGCTGTCTCTGCTTTGGCACACACTGCAAGGCCTCCGCCCCAGTTTCTTGTGGTTTATTTGTTGGTTTTCAGTGGCCAATTATAATGCATCTGATGTGCTAGCTACCCTGCCTCCCCTGTGTTCTTTGAACTCCCCCTCTGGGATTTCACG